CGGCGCCAGCCGGAGCAGAGGGCTGTGGAGGCCCCTTGCCCGGAGAGGCCCTCGAGGGCCTTGAGGTCGAGGCTGCGCTGCGGCGCCTGCCCGTCCCCTCGCCGCCTGCGCGGGCCCGCAACGCGTAGCGTCTCCGGGAGCTTCGTGCAGTCCGGATGGCCGAGGACAAATCAAGGGGGATGACGCTGCCCTTCCGATGGCCAGACCGACCCCGTGATCCCCCACAGAAGCGGACGCTGGGTTGCCTTTCTTCTGAGGAAGAGTCAAGTTGGGGGAGGGAGATGGAGCTAAACCTGGGGAGGCTTTGGAGACGTTCCTGCTCTGGATTTGGTGCAGAGCCTGGGAGATGTTGTGTTCCTCTAGACTGCTTCTCCCCTCTCTAGTGGAAGCACCTCAAGTGTCCACCATCTGAGGAGCTTCCACGGGGGGCTAGTCCTTCTCAGGGAGCGTTTCCACCCCTTACCTTGATGTTACCTTTCCTCATGCACCTATGTATGTCCATAGCTGCTCACTCACTTCCTCGTACCTTGATGAAGATGTTCTCCTAAGGTGGCGATTACTTCCAGAAGATTTGGAGAAATGCAGAGATCTGCGTGTACATCCTATGCCACACAGCATTCTGGGATAAGGTTACCATATGTCCACACCACCAATCCCTTTTCAAGGTATTTTCTGAGTTTTACTCAGGCCAAAAGATCAAGCTCCTTAGGTTTGTTTTCCCTAAGCAGCATTCCTCCGGGATGAGAACTCCCTTCAAGTTCTAGATGTCACACACACTGGCTCTCTTTGGTTCCTTCTGCTGTATGCTTTATGGACACCCTTCACCCTTTTATTTTTATGGCAAATGTGTCCCTCTGCAGAACTGTCCTGCTGCTGAGATTTCCCTGGATCAAGCAGGACTTGCAGTGAAAGTACCAGGCAGATGGCTGTGAGGTTGTCAACGACTGATTCTGAGGACAGCTATTGAGGACCTGCAGAGCTGCCCTGTAGAGGTCCAAGGACTATGCCACTGTGGAAGAGGCCAAATGGCAGGTCAGCCCCTGATTCAAACTCCTTCCCCAGATGACCCCTTTGGGCTGATGCTGAGATTCACCCACAACGTGAACAATCATTCTGCAGAGAAGGAATATTTATCCGTATCTACTCACTCACCAGTAACAGGTGGCTCTTTGCATTGTCCAAAGGCACATTCACGATCCCCTTTTTCCCTCTTAGCATGTCCCTGCAGATCGAGGATTCAGATGGATCGAGGGCTAAACCACTTGCACTATAGAGATGGCCAATGCATGAGGGCAAGGCTTGTATAAACTGCTCCAGATGCTACTCCAGGCTTGTGTGCCAAACGCTCCTGCTTGTGATCTCCCGTTATCAGCAACCCTCCTTTAGAGCCCACCGGCTTCCTTGCTATCCACCAAATGCATTGGGTAGCCAACGTCTGGGTTTTGAGCCAGACAACTTACAAGTGGTTCAGCGGCAGCTCCATATGACTGGCCGCAGGGCTGTGCTGGAGCAGAGTACTGGGTAATACAAAGCTGGAGAGAGCTTAAAGCTGCCACAGGCATTTGGGTTTCTCACCTCAGCAGTCCGCAGACCTCCTTTCCCTCTAATCTATCCAATGGATGTGGTATGTGTCTTGTAATTCCCAGCCAATTTGTCGCATTGAGAAGACTGGCCAGCTGTGGATCAGGTCCTCCTGCTGGCTGCCATAAGATGACCCACAGATCAGATTACTTCCTTCAAGATATGTTGTCCCATAAGGCATTGTTTGTTCCCAGCAAGTCTAGAACACCACATCCAGGTATCAAAGCATAGTTTATTTGGCATAGACTGAAATGAACCACAACAGAAATTTAAGTAGAACAAAGCCTAGTTGCACAAACTGGAGCAAGTGCAGTTAAGAGTCTCAGTTACAATCTAATAACTAAGCAAGGTAAAAAGTACATTTCAGAAAGTCTCCCAGTCTTTACTCCCTTCCTCCCCCAGACATAGTGGCTCACTGATGCATTGTACCTTTCATCTTTTAATCAGATGTCATCACAATTACAGTTGTATTTCTCAGTTACAATGAATTTGGTTAGGAAATCAAGAGAGACTAATCTACAGGCTGCTTTTCAAGTACTGCTCGCGCTTCAAAGAACACGGGGAGCCTGTTGTAAGGCTTTCAGCTTGAATCTATGAACCTCGTGTATCAAACAACTAATACTGTGATATCTGTCAAAAGAGTAATGAGAGAGTGAACAAGTCTTTGCTTCTGAAATTCCAAAATCACACTCTACGCTTTTCTCAACCCTGGCTGAAATGTTACAAAAACATACACAGATACAGACAATACCAAACTAACTTAAAACAGTCTAAGAGATACTAGTCAGCGTCGCCCACTGAGACTGGGTGGTTTAGCTATGAAACATGCAAATCAGTTATGCCATGCTCCGCTAAGATAGGAACGTGAAGTTTTACCCTAGGAAACAGTATCCTGCAGATCATGTCAGAAATCCCATTAATCTACTGAGCCAGACTGGACAAAGCATTTCAGAATATACCACTAGAAATGCTTTAACAACTGAAATAGGAGGTTTGATTAAAGGAGGACTTTTCCTAGATTCGTTTTTATGATTCAGCAAATCCCCAGTCACTCATGTCATTCAAAGAAAAATACTTATTTGTTCCATGACAGTGTAATGACCTAATAGTTATTTACTCCAGTTATTCCCCATAAATACTCATATTTTATTTACAGATTTCTCTAGTCTTTTAGGCATCCTAAGTGTTTTCAAAGATGAAGCCAAAATTTCCTTCTGCAGTGAGTGAGGTAAATTATGTGAAAATGTTTCCTCTACGTCAACATCTACGCTTTACTTTTGTCTTCATTTTTGTTTTGAAGTCATGGTCGTCTAGGAGTTATACCTTTTTAGAGTTAGTCACCAATCACTGTTGCCTATGGCAGAAGTAATTTCAGTACTAGAGAACAGTTAAACGCCACGTAATGCTAACCTCCAATGAGGCCGCTTATTCTAGCCAAAATCATGCATGGGTAATAACAGATTCTCCTGATAACAGCACCTGTTAAAATATTTCCCTAACATGGAAAAATCAGATCAAGAAATCTCTTAGCCAAAATTGTTCTTTATCAAATACATAGCTGAAAAAATGTATGCAAACATCAATTTTTTTCTGATCGCCTCGTTCATTATAAAGGAGGGACTCAAACAGCCACAGATTTTTGCTGTCCAGTTATGGAACTACTTGAGAATAACTTCCAGAAATAAGTCAGTTTTAGAAGCTAAAATAATGGACTTCATGTTACAACACACTCCTTTCCCTCAATTTCTTTAAAACACAAATCTTAAGTGTCTTTTTTTTAATATTTCATCTCCAATTACAATTGACGACTTAAAATATTTTTCAGAACATTGTGGACTGATTTTTTAAGTCCTGTCTGTACACTTATTTATTAAACCTCGATATAGTTTCAGAACTGAAAAGGTTGCCTTGATTTAAATATCAAATCAACAAGAAAGAATTAGTTTGAATGACAGTGCTAAGTGGACAAAATGCTAAATTGTGTGCAGGTCTTGTTTTCCTTCCAGACCTTCAGAACAACCTAAAACTCCAGCTGTACCTAGTAACAAAAAGACATTACTGATTCATCACGTGCGCTGAGTTAATTCCATCAATGCTAAATTATGAATCAAGTAGTTTGATGCCTAAGCAGACAACCCAGCTCTCCATTCTTCACAGTGCGAGTTCAGATCAAACCACTCGGATTCTGCTGTGTCAGCAGAGCCTCAAGTCAGGGCAAGCCATTGTAACACACTTACCTTTATTGCTCTATTAAAATAACTTGTGAAGCTTCTAACCTGTTTTTCTAAGGGCAGCAGATCACACAAATTGAATCAGACAGCAGTATACAGTAGCATTTCATTAAAAAAACCCTCCATTCAAATGTTAATGAACTGCTACTGTATCCGCCTATGGACTGTGTTTATTTGCATCAAAGCTTGCAGGTTAGCGTGAGGTAGTAAAACCATACCCTATCCTGTAGTCAGACTATATTCATATTTAATGGTACCTCAAGAATTTTAATTAATGAGGAAGACAAAAGAGACCAATGTGACTCTTTAATGGAGAAATAAAGAAAAAGAAAAATGCAGGTGACAAACTAAAAATCGGGGAAGGGAAGAAGTGATCTGAAGCTTTATTATAGAATACTGGTTCTTATCATATTTATTTATACTACACAGTTGGGGAAATAACCATCCGCAAATGACAGTCTGACTGACAACAGCTGGATGACTGTACAAACAAAAAGTTAGAAAGCTCAGTTATCCCTATAGGCTCCCCTCTGGAATAGTATAAATAAAGTATACGTCATGGGCAGTTTGATACATGATACTTTCATTCATTAAGGATGACCAGGTACAATCCGCATATATTTCCATTTCACGTCACAAGGCTTATCCCTAATTTATGAAAATAAAGCATATATATTTTGTACATTTTTATATATAATATATAAATATATATATATAAAAAATACACACTGCCGGTCAACTTACCACACATGCACACACACACACACGTATATTGTACACACCCATCCAGTAGCAACATGTTTGATATCAATATTATATTTTGTGTACACACACCCTACATCTAGTAAATAAGAAAATCCCTTTTATGGCAATTCTGCAGGCAAAATCAATACAAAATACTTTGTTGTACAAAACTGCATTTTTACAAGATCAACCAACATTGTAACATATCCCTCAAGAATGCACTACATCTCTACAAGAAAAAAGAATAATCAAATCTTTATACAATTGTAAAAAAAAATTGTAAGCTGCTCTGCAACCTTCCTTTGCTAAAAGTTAGATACATTACACCATTCTAGCAGCAGATTAATAAATAAGGATTAAATAGTCTATTATACAAAGCCATACTGAATGGCAGATTTAAAAACAAAAAGCTTTGCAGATACTTTCACTTCCTACACAAATCATTTGTATTAAGAATAAGACTCAGTATAAAACAGGGAAACAGCCAGCACTCTATCTATATCTACAGAATACAAGGAAAATCCAAGGGAAGTAAAATATTCAACAGTTTATGGCACCTTTACGGCTTAACGTTATTTTAAAGGCTCTGTTTCCCTATGACTAATGAGTAAAGGACTATTTATCTCATAGCTTTTATTAAGCAAACTTGATATAACCAACCACACAGTGGCAAGAGACAGAACCAGCTGTTCCCAGCTGCAAAAATGTATTGATTTCTACCCTAAAACAAGATCCTTTAGGTGTCAAGAAAAGAAACAGGAAGTCATAGTCCGACTTGTACTGAGTTTTTTTAATGCTTCTTTTTTCCTGATGTGGTGAGTTCGTTCTGTTGCTTAGTAACTATTTTCATGTCCAGCCAGGATGTAGAGATTGCTGTGCGCGGTCGGATTTTCTGTTGGCCTGCTCTCTAACACTACCACCCTGCAAGCAAAACACAAACAAAACCCAGAACGGTCAGTGGCAAAATAAGAAGCATGTGGTTTAACTGCTACCCCCAAGGAAGAACAAACTTGTTACTCACAGGTGTATAACGATGGGAGAGATCTCCTCCCATAGAGTTCTCCTAAATATCTTAGGTATTTTATTCTTTAAATCAGTTACCTCATTTTCCATTCTATGTAGCAACACTTCTGATAAAAACGCCAAAACCTCATTCACAGGGAACAGAGAACTAGAAGGGGTTTCCTGAACCAGAACCTGCCACCTGCAACCACAGCCACACGCAGCGTGTTACAAACCTCCTCCACACCAGTATGCTCCACCCTGAAATAAGTTATTTCCTGTACTTCTACTGGGAAGTTATCTCAGAACCACAGTGTTGTGAGGAGATGCAACCCTCTTATCATCTGCAGCCTAAACACGTTTATACCTCCTATGTCTTATGGTAAGTATCAGCTTAAGCTTGTTCTTCTCCCCGATGGGTTCATAGAGAACTCTGAACCCCACGTCAGCTGTTGTCCTGCTGGATAACATTCCTGTAGGCTCCTCTACAACGTGGCTCCTGCCATCTCAGCGTGCCGACAGCTGCGTTCCACGCACCTCTTCCATGCCGAACCCCAACAAGCAGAACGTCCTATTGTTGCCAGCTAGTATGGTTGGGCCTTTGACCTCCCCTCTCCTTTCCAACTGTTCAGTGCCCTCATTTCTCTCTACCAGTTCCTAAGACTATATCCTGTGATTTTTAGTATTAAGCTTCCCTCTGCTTTGTCTTCCATATGCTTTTCAAATAAGCCAAATGTGCTGTTTTAACCCTAACAGTTGGATATCTCAAAGGGTTAGTATTTCACACACGCATCTCCCATGTCACATTCCCCAAAGTTTTCAAACAAAGTCTCTCTCTTAACAGCCTCGGTCCCTGGATCTTCACTTCTTTAGCTCAGTAATTCTTAAATGATCCAAGTCAAAAAGGTGTTGCCATATCTTGCTCACAAAAACATGGTAGAAAAGACTCCTGCTCCGTTGTGTACAGCGATGCAAAAATACAAAATGAAGGATTTGACAAATCAGTTGAATGAGATCAGAAAGGAAGAAAACGTTTTCTCTGCAAAACTGCATGTATTAGAAGGACTTCAACCTTATCTCCCACCATAAAAAGTGCTTTGTTCCAAGTTGTTTTTCAGCTATACAGGTGTTTTACAAAAATGCAAGCTGAACCAGAGGAGATACAGCTTTCTATCCCTCTGCATGTTTAGGACGCTCCTGTGTTCATCAGCACAACACAGAAATATGAGCCATTTAAAGGTATCAATTCTAGTATGCAACAAAGATTCAGGGATGATATAGCACACACCTGGACTAATACAGCATTTGCACAGCAGTGGACCTCAGCAAAAGCTTATTCTTGCAATAACAGAATATATCCCCTGTGCTGTTGGGATACAGCAGATTTCCAGGCCTCACGGTCCAGAGTAGTGAAGATTATTTAAGTAATTAGCTGCCAAGGTGATGCCAGTTCACCTTGAAAATCCAAGCCAGAGCCAGAATCCAAGCTAGAAGCCTTTCCAGAAGTGCACTAGGCACCATGCTTACCATCTGCCACAGGCGGCTACTATCCCTCCGTGTAGATTTTCTCCTCACGCAGTATCTCTATACACTGTGTTTGTGTTCACAGTTCCATCTCTCCAGTGGAAAGTGGGGGAGGTCACAGGGCCCTTGGAAATCATTTTGGATTCAGATGCAATCACTAATTACATTTTTGACTATTGCAGGCAAGAAACAGTGTCACTACCTCCCACAGGACTGCCTACAGATGGATTTGCGGTAGGCTGGAACAGAATTTCAACTGGTAGGTAGAAAGGTTGTTTAAAGAAAATAAGAGGTTTAATGTTTCTTTAGGGCGATTACCTGTCTGATCCCAGTAAGCGGAAAACCCTGGTCTCATCTGATATCTCTTGGGTAACCTGTAGAAAAATGGAGACATTAAGGTCCATTTCAGTGGTAAAATGAGATGTATAGGTCTGAATTGGAAGGAACAAAAAAAAATTATCAGTCTTTTCAAAAATTCAAATATCAGTTAGTGCAAATGACAGGACTGAATCAGATAAGTCAACACTGAATTAAAAAACCTCTTAAATTTCATAAAATAAGACTTATTTTAAAAAAATTATGTATAATAGATAGTTATCAGTCTAGAGGACTTGTTGGTAGCACACTTGGAATATTTTGTGCGAATCTCTGTCAGCAGAGAGACTGGCTTTCCCCTGCTATTTCATGCAGAGTTAAAGGGATGCTGCCAACTAGAGTTTTTTCAGGAGAGCCAAAAAGCCCAAATGCTGTTTATACCAGATCTGTGCTGGCCCTGTGCAGAACCAGTCCAGGTGCCTCTGAACTGTAAGCTTGGAAATGGGGTTGGTAAAAGCACGTGTGCAAGCTTTACCAGGAGCAACACATGGCAGCAAGTGAGAGAAAGAACCCAGTAAGCTAAAACGGTGACAAGCACTATCGCTAGGGAAGCAGCTAGAAGAGCCAGTCAGGACCAGCTGGTAGACAAGGACCAGGCAGAAACTGAACGAGGAAAGACTGGGAGATTACTTACTTCATCTGACTTAAAGCTTTTGCCCTGCATGCCATGCTTCCAGAAGGCCAGCACACTGTCTTGAAGGCACACTGCAGAGGAGAAACAAAATCAGATCCAACCACAGCTTGTTTGAAGCAAGGAAATCTGGGTTTCCAGCAGTGATAATGGGAAGCATGAGGAGAAAGTACATGGTGAGACTTGGACTCCTGGTAGAAGACCCAACTCTGAAATCACCATAAAAAACAACTGCACTCAAGTTACTATTTGGATCAGGGACACACTTTTTAAAATTCAATTCAAAGCATACCACTCAGACTCATTCCTTCTTTGCCAAGGCAAGATAGGCATGTCTGTTTTTTCCTTTACTCCCTTCCACTTCTATTCTCCAATTTTTTTTGTTTCCCTAATGGTTTGACTTTGAGAAAACACCAGGAAGTGGTTAAACGTGCTGCCAGTCAAAACACAGTGGGTCACTGGAAATTACAGATCATCTTAATTATATTTACTTCAAAATAGACTGGAGTATGAAAAATGGGAGGAGTCTTCCTTTCAGGGCCAAAGAGAGAAAACAGAAAGTTACCAGCTCTGAATGATTTAATTACCTGGCTGCTTAAAATAATGGATGAAGAACCTGGTATTCTTTAAGCAGTGTTACAGAAACATATATTTTATACATGAACTATTTTCTGAGCTCCTACTTGTTTTCCTTTGTTATTCCTCTCAATCATATTTTGGATCTGCTCAGTACTAGCTAGACCCTGAATACACAAAGCAAAGGCATGTAACAGAATCCCAATAGCGATGTCTTTCACAACTGCCTTTTTCTCGACATTTAGACTCATCTTTACCCGTTACTCCTCACTCTACCCTGCAATCAGACAACAGAGAGTTCTTTAATACTCTGGATTCCCAGGAGCCCACTTGGAGTAAAAAGAACATTATTCCAAGTCAGCTGGTATGTGCAAGACTTTGGAGTAAATGTTTCTGTAAATGAATTCCTTCAGAGTTCAAGGAAAAGGTAATGGCTGAGTCATGCTAGGCAGGTGTCAGCAGGAGATACTGTATGGTAGAAACAAAGTAGGTAAAATTAGAACACGTCAGAATTTAGAGAAGAGTCGCAAGCTTGGTTAAAAATATAACAATTCTTCCTTCAGGATGGTTCTGACATACGTAAATAGAGATTCTGTATATAAGAATGTGCATTGCTTTAGCAGCTGCAGTTAAAGTACTACAAAATACTTATGTCAAGATGATGTCTGAGGAACTCTGAAGTCTAAATTTTACAGAACTGCTAACAAAATGTTTATAGCTTTTTATAGCAGAAATACTCACTTGACAATTACAACGCAACTTTTAGGAGCAAGGCTGCTATGTTCTATTAAGAATTAGATTCAAATACAATGACCCTTACTATTAGAAATGGATGTGCTATCACCTTATATAAAATCTTAGCTTTTAGAAGACTAATGCAAAATAAGTGCATTACTAACATAGAAATCCTTTTTCCAAAGATTCTTCTCAGTGCTAAGGAAATGACCAGGAACAAACAACATTTTACAATCATTTCTGTCTTAAAAAAAAGTTGTATCATGATTTGACACCAGATGGAAGCATGTGCAGGTCAGACCCGCACTGCCTGGCAACTGGCTTATTTTCTTAAGCATGTCAGCGGAGACAGGGAGCCGGCTCACAGTATTCTAGAGCAAGCATTTTTTAGTGCCAGGCCCCAAGGGGTGCGCTAGACCAATCTATTAAAACCCCTTCAACTTTCATCATTTTTAGTTTTCAGTTCTTGAAAACCAGTACAGAACCAAGTCACTTACCCACTGATTCGATGCAGAAATCAAAGCTCAGCTCAGAGGCCAATTTCTTGCTTGATTTCAACTTCCCTTGTAAATTCACAATTTTCACAAATTCTCAAGAAAAACAGAAATCCAAGTATTAAAACTCACTGCTGAAGAGGATTACAGATGGCTCTAAATATGAAATACTAACTTCAACTTTCAGGCACAAAAAACGAGCATCCTTCTCTCAAAGACAGAAACCATCTTACAGATGTATGTATGTTTTTAGACTTTATTGACAGCCTTTCTAAAAATAATAACCTAAGTGAACACAATATAAAGGTTGAAATTTAAGCAGATTAAGTCACTGCGAAGTTCCCATTGCGATATTAACTTCTGATGCATATGAATTACTGTTACCGTGCATGATGTAGTGTTAGCTATACCTACGGCAGTTGCTTAGCAGGATATAAGTGCCACATTTTCCAGATAAGTTTTAAAATTTTCTGCTTTGCATATATTCGAATTTTCATCTTTAGTGCTGCATTACATATTTCATTTTGAAAGGAGCAGAAATAGGAAAACAAAGAAGAATATATACATATGAAGAGGGGAAGCAGAATCACGAGAGTCAAAGTGAAAAGATCACCTCTCTGAACTGTATCTCTTAGGAAACATTACAACACAAATTAGTAATGAAGAGAGAAAAAGTAACTTACGGTAGAGTTAAAAATCAACAAACGTGGCAAAACAAGTTTTGCATAAAGTATAGTAAGTTGTCCAACAGATAACACGTTACTTACTGTCTAGGCAGACTAAGACGGTGTCTCTTTCCAGCTGTGTTACATGAATGGCATCTAACTGCTGATTGCCTTGTGAAAATGAAAACAGATTACTTTACATCACATCCTAAGTCTGATCTCAACCTTCCCTCCCCTCAACCTCTCTCCAGTTGCTACAGCCTTTTGGGGATGTTACAAGCCTTTTGCAGTCTACAGTATTTGTTATTATCTTACCTTTTTTTAAGGTTGCATAATCCCAGAACGCTATGGGGGGAGAAGAGGGACTATGGACAAGCCAGTCAGCTCAAAGCATGTATTTAATGTGAAAGCACTACTGCTTATCAGCATAAAATCCATTTTAGTTCAGCATAGCAAATCAGTTTTCTTCGTGAAAAGACCCAATAATGAACAAAAGGAATTATCAAGGGAATCTTTAGAGCTAAAAAAAAAAAAAAACCCCAAGCCCCCTCTTTTCCCACAAATTCACATCTGGAAAGATTACTGTGCTGATATTAAACTTGAATTTAATATTTTTCTTAGTTTCAATCAAGTTCTCCATACAGCTGCTAAAAAGCAGTTATTTTAAAGTGAAAAAAAAGTATCCATCAAGCCAGCAGAGAAAAGCATCTGCAAGATATCAAATAGCTTTTGAAGGCAAGACAAAATCTTCTACTCATTAATAGACAACTGAAGATGACAAGCCCCGACCCAAGGGTTGGAGGACTGACAAGAGCCAAGGCTGACTGACTAATATCAGGCTTTACACAAGAGAGAAGGGGAAAGAGCAGTGAGACTGACCCCAGTTAGAAGAAAACAGTATGCAACCACAAATGGGAAGAACTCAGTCGGTAGGGTCTGCATTGCTATTTAAGGAATTTTAATCAAGAATATGTCTAAAAATGAAGTCTTTTAAGATAGTTTACACTGCGGTTGGCAGATCTTCCCAAGAAGAACTTGGGATCAGCTTCAGCATCACAGAATCACCGAATAGTTAGTGTTGGAAGGGACCTCTGGAGATTGTCTGGTCCCTTCGCTCAGGCAGGTCACCTAGAGCAGATTGTCCAGGATCATGTCCGGCTGGGTTTTGAACGGAGACTCCACAACCTCTCTGGGCAACCTGCTCCGGTGTTCAACCACCTTCAGAGTGAAGAAGCGTTTTCTTATGTTCAGATGGAATTTCTTGTGCTTCATATGCTTTAGGTAGAGAAACTGCATCACTTTGCCTAGCATAAAGGGTTTCCAAATGGCTTCTGAGGAAAAGATTCAATAGCCACCAGACATTATATAGCTGCAAGATGGACCAACAAAGTCTTACCTGCACCAATTTCTGTAAACCATGAAGATGCAGAGTTCAAGTTGATTGTCTCAAACTGAACTACTTGATTTAGTTCAGTACCCTTACTGATAGCTACACAGACCATCGGGTACTCCTGCTCTGGTATCACTAGCATTTCAAACACATTCAAAGGGCTTGGCAAAGGAAAATCAAAGTGCTGGAAAAAAAATTAAGGCATTTGTAGCATTTCCTTCTACCTTGAAAATAAGAAGCTTAAAACAACACGCACAAAAAGATACAGAAGAGTTTTTCACTGCTACTAAGAATTCACTTTTAAGACAGCATGAGCTGTGAGCAACATTATGTTGCTCAGAGAGATATGGTAAGAGCCCGTTATTGCTAGTACTGGACTTCATCCAACACTTCATTTCACTTCAGTCATTGGATTTTCTTAGTCAAGGTGTGTCAGGCCAGATTTTTAAGTGCCTGGAACCCACAAATGGGACTAGACTAGGATGTATTTTCCATTACAAATTCTAGAAAGGTTATTTCAACAACAGTATAATGATTAAGATCTTGGGGCAGGAAAGAGGGACAAGCAAAATTAAATGTTGTAAACTAAAAAATAATACTTACCTTTATTAACATGAACTTCTGCATTGGCTCATACCACTGTAGAAGAACAATTCCAGACTGCAGTGCCCCACACAGATACTTATGTCCTGTGTATGGATTTCTGACTATATAGAACAAGCAAATAAACAAAATACCTTTTTTAAGTCCAGAAAGTTCAATGATACATAAAGTGAAACTAAAAAATGCAGCTATATTTACAAATAATTTAAGAAATACTATTGTTTTCACACTAATAATTGTTTTTCTGGCATAGCGTTCAAATATCTTCAGTGATTACTGTTGTGCCACATTCCAAATAAACTCAATTATCCATATACTTAATGGAAACAAGCATTTCTTAGTCCCAGTCAAGAGGCCACATGCTGAGTGGCCATAAAAGCTGTAAAGTCTTCTTCCTGAGGCTGGAGCAGGAGGGGGAATGAAAGGTCCAGGCTAAGTTGTAGCTGAAATAAAATAAAGTTGTGGCTGAAATAAAATAAACATTAAAAAAAATCCCCAAGCAGTCAAGATGCTCCATAACTTCTTGTGAGCTTTGACAGCTAATGCAATGAGACGATGAAGTTTTTTGTTTTTTGTTTTTTAAAGCTCGGCTGGATGCAACACCAGCTTGACTTCAGGAATGATTTGCAAATATGCCTCTTGTAGACATGGGATATCCAAGCTCGCAAGTAGGTATTTTGTATTCTGTTTAAGCGTTTTAATTTAAGAGTGCAAAGGTACAATTTCTCACGTCCAGTTTTCAAAGGGACGTGCATTACTGTAGAAGACCCAAACTTTTCTGAAAGTCAATGGAGCCACAGACAAATCTGTAACTTCACAAGATCCAAGACTTTTCTGCCGGCACTTAGCACCTGAATGATGGCTTCAGTCCTCCCCACGCTGACATAATTTTTATTGTGTCCAGTAACTTCATTGTGGAAAAAATATTTTTCAAGTCAGCCTAGCTAAAAGTTGGATCTAGGTCAAAGCTCGAGCCAAACTAACAAACCAGAAAGAGTATTTGTGTATGTGTAAGTCTAGGATTCCGTAACAAGTGGTACATTTCCAGACCGTCTGCATGTCACAGTAACTAGCTGGCTCGTGTGGCCGGCTGCAGCCAGTGATCCTAAACATCAACTTATTCGTGGAGAGCTTGACTCTCGTCCTTGGCAGCTCCCAAAGGGAATGTACAACATGTCAGCTGCATTCTACCGGCATTCTCCAGGGTTTCCTTTCACAGTCTTGCTCTAGACAGCAACGTTTCTAGATTAAGAGTTGATATGAAAAATGCTTGTATATTATTTCCACTGAATAGCATAAAGATCTCTTGCATTACTTAGAAAGAAAATCATACGCTAGTTAGGGGTGTAGCATTAAGACACAAAGTAGTCATACTGTTTTCTGAACAATGAACTAACTGCAAGTCAATTAAAAAGAAATGAGTTTAAGACATGCCATGTCCAACAGCGAAGGCCAGAAAAAAACTGTAAACCTGAATGCCTACTCACCTATACAGCATTTGTGGCATCCTTTTGTATCAGGGATCTTTGTCGTTAAGGCAAACTTCCTGGAATAACAGTTAAAAAAAATGTATCAGCCAAAGATGCAGAGCGCCTTTCATACTACTAAATCAACAGCACATAAAAGTATTGAAGGAAATTGCCTCTGAGATCTGTACCTTGGTAATATTTTGTCAGGAAACCTATGAGTTTGAATATGAGCAGCTAATCCTGTTTTTTTGGCTTGTTCAAACAAAGCTATTAAATTATGGGAGTAGAGCTGGAATGTTTTCCCTGTAAGAGAGAAAAACACAATTGATACCACACACACATGCACATCAGAGAGCAGTACATTTTAGAGAAACGTAGGTATATACAATTACCTTCTAGGAAAATGGACCGCCATGCGTCAGATATGTCGAGTCCAATTATGAAGAAAAATAAAACAAGACAACAATAAGAATGCATATGAGAAGACATGGCATTCAACTCAGAGTTCATTTCAGTAATATTAAAGATGCTCTGAAAGTTAGTGTTACATACACAATTTTAGAAGGCTGTAACTATACAACAACTGCTAATCGTATCAGGACATTCTCTTTGACTATAAATCAATGAAAGTGGTATTGCACAAAAAGCTACATGCTTAAAGGCACGCTCCTACAATTAGTCTGCATGTCATATTATCCTTTTCATCTGTTCCCTATGTAGAACCTCCTTATTTCAGGACAATTCAGAAAAAAATTTTTTTCAAAAGAGTCAATCTGATATATTAGTAGTATTTCATAGCCACCTCATTCCCCCTTACCTTGAGATGGTTTTTGTTTTAAGCTGGATTTATTTTCTGAATCTGGTTCATATCAAAGATGCCATCAGGCTGCAATTCACTGTGAGAGTGATCAAACACTATAGCTACATCCTGCAAACACTCCCATCTTGATCCTCTCTTAATTTTGTTTTGCTCCATGAACACAGCGCTTAATTGGACTCCCCTAGCTCAGCCACCAAAGAACAGGACGCTCTTTAGATTCTTTACAAACTTTTAATCCAACTGCAGCCTTGGCAAAGGCAACTCTTGTGTGCAACAAATAGCAAGTTCCTCGCCTTTCCAAACAATCAACAAAGTTGGACGCTGCAGACAATTGCTTCTTGTAAAAGTCCACCTGTAAGCTTCTGTCTTATCTATGAAAACATTTTGAATTAAAACACTCTCGAAGCTAAACTGCCTTCACAAACACAAGGAAAAGGCATAGCTCCTTCCTTCAGTACAATCTGATCTAAATAATGCCCAAGGGAAATTACATTGTACTGAATGATGGCTTTAAATGTTTCTCATTATTTTATTAATTTTTCCTCTATTTATACATACCTGACAATGACATTAAGGTGTTATTGATAACATACAGCCAGGTGCACTTTCGGGGAAATAACTGAAAAAAGAAAATATTTCCATTAATAGAAACATACAGGAATTACTAACCCTGGTTTTCTCTGCCTGCTCCACCTCTGTCACCATTCCTGCAGTGATCGACACTGGAGAAGGTCCCAGCTGTAACTACATTCCCTCCTTTAGTTCACTCTTTTGGACCATTACTTAGCCATTTTTCTGTCCTAATTAGTTTTCATTCCATTTCATTCAAGCTTCAAATTTTCTTTAGTTTTTAAATCAGCAGCACAGTGGGACAAATGGCAAGGCTGGAATATCATATATAGAAAGATATAGCTTGCTCTGGAATGACAGCCAGTGAAAAGAAGATAATGATATTACAGCAGCCTACTTAAACCCCTCGCAAGTCGGGGGCAGGGGGAGCGGGAGCACAGGGAGAAGCACTGGTATTTTCTGAGCCACTCACAAAATCCTGTATTCTGTGGGACTTACCACCCCGGCTATTTGTGTTATCATACTGCTGTGTAAAGAGAACTCATGGAAGGCAATGGGACATATTTTTGTTTCAGAAGAGGGAAGAAGTTCCTCAAGCTCTAGATTTGAAAAGATTTTAAAGGAAAGAAGAACATCTTGACAATCTGAAGGAGGGAGGCAATTTGGATAAAAGTGACTGCAAAACGACAGCATTCAGGAGTCTCAGCAAAGGAAGGGATAAGGACAGCTGAATGAGGACATGGATTTTGTTAAAAAAATTGATTTTATTGAAGAATATTCATAGGTAAGGTTCTCCCATGAGAAGACGTTCTAATAAGAAAAAAGGACTTCACAGGAGTGAGCTGCATCTAAAGGAAGATATGAAAAAAAGACAAAAGCAGTCTCGTCCAATGGAGGAAGTTGTTGCAAAACACAGCAAAAGACCAAGAGGGTTGAATCAAGGCTCTACAAAAGAACAGCTGTACAGGTTCAACCGAATGTCCATCTAACCTGATAACGTCTTTCTAACAGTCACTATAGGTGACATCGGTTCTCCTAAGAAATGCTGAGAACAGGAAGAACGCTTATGAGCATTGCCTCTAATACTCTGCCAGGCACCAAACTTCTTCAGCTCAGAAAACTGCTGAATCAGTTGTGGTTTCTGTGTAGTTAACGATGGTCAAAGGATTTATCTTCCATAAATTTGTCCAGTCTCCTTTCTGAACTCATATAACTTCTGGCATACGCTACTCCCCACAGCAACAAGTCCCAGGTCAGTTACCCACTGCTTATACTTCCTTTGGCTCCCACTAGCTTCGTTGGGTGGCCCCACGTTCTTGCACTGGAAGAGAAGGGGAATGAGGAAACACTCTCCCAGCCACCTCAAGATGGGTAAATATTTCTTTCTCCTCCGTGCCTTAAATATCACAAACAAGTAATACAGCAAATGGAAACAAGGACATAATGCTGAGGATGACAAGGCAACCACAGGATAAGCCTGAAGGAAGGAACATGAGACAGGTTAAGATGCAAATCAAATTACAAACAGCAAAGTAGGTTCCATAAATGTATTAATTGGGCAGACAAAAAGGAGGCTAGGTCCACTGCTTGACAGGGAAGGAGAAAGATTCCTCTTGGCAACATGATTAACCCAGTGAACAGCACTGTGATAGGAACTCATGCTAGAAGCAAAAAAAGAATATGTTAAATACTATTTCAATTAGATGTACTCATAACAGCAAGTCATGTTTAACTTTACAGTACTTAAGAACCAGCTCAGACCAAGCTCTCAGTAATGGTTATCCTCAGGAACTGATGCAGGACAAACATGGACCCCAAGAAGGGCAAACACAGTACCTGCACTGAACAAAAAGGGCTTGGGGAACGGTCTTGTAAAAGAGTCTGACAGACTGACTCTGGATATCTAGCGTAGCACAGGAACAAGCCACATAGCTTATAATCAGCAAAGGATAACGACTAAGAGCAGCTAGTGTGGATTTCTGAATTTCCTTCTTTAACAGAAGAACTGCTCTGCTAGGTGCAGTGGAACAGGAAGACATGATACATATATGAAAGATCTTGCCCCATATGCCATTTCCGTATGCCAAATAAGAAAACATGGGTAGATGAAATTACAGAAAGAAAATATAGAACTGGTTGGACATAAAAACAGAGTCTGTCAGTAGTGTTCCATTTAGTAGGACAAAAAACAGCCTGTAGACATACAGTGTCTTTTCTGAGCCTGGTTCTATTCAGTGTTTTCACTGAAAAACTAATGATGGAATAAGTATATATATGAAATCAGCAGATGATATTAACCTTGGAGAGACTGTAAGCACATTGGAGGATGGGATCGGAATTAAAAATTGGAGAGAAAGTTCAAAAAAGTCAAGTACTGGCATTTAGTGGTGAGAAATCAAGAAGCGTATAAATACAAAGGGGGGAAAACTGGCATGGCAGAAACACAGCAGCTGTAAAGCCTCTGGGGATTGTAGTGGATCACACAGGACTTCTGCCAGCTGAGGATGCTGTCACAGAAAGGAAACTAATTCTGGGATGCCTTAAATGTCCTAAGTAGGACGCTAATAACTTCTCTCTGCCCACCACTGGCACATCTAACCTTTAAAAAGGATATAAAAAAGGGTATGGAAGAGTCCAGAGAAGACCATTACGTAAAATAAATTGGGAAAGTGTACAAGAAAAGGTTAAAGACTTGGGTTTGACTACCTGAGCAAAGAAACATTAAGGGAAGGACCCGGGAGTGCAACAGTCGCCACCACCTGTTTTAAAAAGTTTTGTTAGAAAAGTATCTCCGCTATGCCCTCTAGTGGAGATAAAACGGACCAAGAAGAAAGGGTGGGTAATCAGCTGTCTCCAAGGAGGAGAAAGACGTTTTACTACAGAGCTCCTTTGAATGCAATGTCACATAAGCAGCATCCAAAAATTCATGCAAGTGTGGGGACTGTTAATTTTAGCCCTTCCAGTGCTTACTTTGATGTGAATCAGCTTATGCCACAAAGCTTAGCATGCCCATCTATGCCCTAATACAAAACTTTCTTGTTTCATAACTTTGCCAAATCTATTCTGCCTGTTCAGTATAGCAATAATCACCTGTTCCATTGTTGCTTCATGAAGTTCGTTCAAATTCAAAGTATAGATACCCTCTTCAGTTCCAAAGATAATGTACTGATCTAAAAATTTTAAGAGAAATCATTTACTTCAAAAGTTCATTACCTCCTTGACAACAGACAGGTTTAAAATACCAATGAAAAACAACTTTACCTTTAGTATCTGGATGTATCCATGATGTTGCACAATTAATCTTCAAAGGGCAACCATCAAAGACTTTTGAAAAACATGCTCCCATCTGAAAGATACCAAAACTGAAACCTGAAACAAGTTTGTAGTATAAAGGGTTCATCTTTTGGCAGTTCGCCAACTAGTACACACTGCTGCTCTCTTCAGATACAGAAACTTACTCTAAAATGTTTTGATGCAAAACATTTTATCTTCCTCAAAAGCTACAGTGCAGCCTTCCAAACCTTTTCATAGACTTTATATACATTAAGAATCGCAAAAGCAGATCAGAATAACATGGACAATTTTAAGTACCTACTGGACAAGAACAATACTAAGTGCTTATATAACAGCATATAAAGGCAAAACAAACGGAAGCATTCAAGAAAATAAAACCCTCTCCCATGATTACTGCCTCTTCCCATTTTTCTTATTAAAAGAGAGAATGCCACTAGAGTTCGCAGCCCAAAGAGACAGACAAGAAATGAGATTTCTTACCAGCACCTTTGGTGTTGGTGGTAAACCATTGATTGCTGGCTTCTGTGGGAAGAAAGAAAGATTATAAAGTACCTCCCATGCACTGATATAGAACATTGTACATTATGTTTTCATTTGTCTATACTTAACATGACAGTGAAATCGGGCAGCTGATGAGACCGTGAGTCACAATACTTACAGGAAAATCTCTTTTCTCTTTTTTACGTGGCAGTTGAGGGATTTGTCCGGACCCTTCAACACTTTCTTCAATGAGTTTCAGCATGCCATCGCCATTTCCTGAAAAGAAGCCCATACACATTTTTGAGCACCCTTGACACGGTCAAACTAAAGGAAAAAAAAAAAACCCTGTTGCCCTGTTCTTTCTTCTCCCCTCTGTCCAGTGAGTACAGCGAGCTCTCAGCTTCCACATGCACATCTCAGGTAGCTGTCCTTGAAAAGGTTCAGCTAAGCTACACAGTGATTAAGGCTTCCCATTATCCCAGTAGTCCGTAAGCCAAACAGGATTGAGAACAAGGCCATGGCAAGGTCCTCGCTGATGCTCCTCCTTGCACATTCATTATTCTTATACTATTCCTGCAGGCAACACAGGGATGGTATTGACCGGCTGAGCGTCCCTGTTTTGAGGCAAACATTTCCGCCATGGGTCACGGCTCTAATAAGAGCTGGCACACATGTAAAAAGGAAAGCTGCGCTTTATGATACAGCTTATATTAAGTTAACTGTCTCCTGAAAACAGAGCGGACTCCAAAACTGATTTGCTTTTACAGGAAGCAAGTCACCTTTTGGAAATGTAATGCATTTACCCAAGTCGCTGTATCTAGCTGTAAGCAATCCAGGGCTACTGATGCTGCTGGTCATACCGATGGGGGAAGAATCGGTCTGAGGCCCACAAACAGGAATACTCTGTCTCCTATGAGCTGGCGGGGCTCTGTTTTGCGAGTCAGGAAAATGCTTTATTGTCTGAGACTTCTCATCATCTGGCAGGTTTTCCTCAGGATAACTGTTTATTCTTGGCTGCAACAAACAAAAGACATGAAGATTAACTGGGAAATGGCATCTGGAGGCATAAACTTAAGACAGATTTTGATTAAAGTCAGACTGCTTCTACATTAAAAAAAAAAAAAAAGGGAGGGGGGTTACCAGCATTTCAACAAAGGCATTTGACAGCACACTAATCTGAAAGGTATTCCTTCTCTGATGGAAAAAACACAGCGGCAGACAGACTGCTGAACAAGAGGGCATTCCGTGCAGCGTGCTCTCTTCAAAGGGAAAATACCTAAAAGCCACTTTATCAAGGATAGCATAAAAGCCAGGAATTCCCAGAGGTCAACGAGATTGCAGAGGATGCAAGTCAGCATAAAATACGACGCTGCATGAAGTCTGCTAGCAAATGGTATTTAACAGGATTTACAGCCTACTCAGGGCATCAGACAGAAGCACACCGCAGAGACTGCCTAAGTGGTGTCTCCCTGCTTAAAACTCTTAAAACACCACAGTCACTTACCTTAGGAGGTAGTGGAGGTGGCCCTGCTCGCTTTAGGGTTGATCTGAAACGAAAAGGTGCAGTAGTTGTCTTAGTTACACCAGTAACATAACTAGGACTGCTTGAAAGCAAAGGCTGTACATAGGGCGAGCCAGATGCATAGGAAAGACTGATCACAGCTGTGCGCAACAGGGTTAAACGAGAAGCTTAAGAGCGAAAAAAAGCACATTAATACTTGTTAGAAGTGGTTTTTGATAAATTGTTGCTCTTTCATAAACGTAGAAGTTAGAGAGCATTTGTGATGAAGGGTATTTGAAATACGGAAATAAGTATGTGTTAAGAGACTTGTCCTCTGAAGGCGCCTCCTTCCACTACTTGAATTCCACTTTTGTGCTTGTTTTTCTAGAAAATTCCTCCTGACAGTGAAAAATGCTGCATTTCTGGATCAGCCAGCAGATCATGTTACAGAGCAATGTCCTCTCAAAATTTTTCAGAACGGCAAAACAAGTTTATTGGACATCATCTAACAGCAGTCCCGACAGCAACTGAATTTCAGGCCGCTCCACAGAAGGGCCCCAGCTCTTCAGCCCCGTTTGCAGCTTTTGCTCCGGATGAGTCAAAAGGGAGCAACAGAGGAGCTGCACATGCCCTAACGGGGCTCTCCAACAACAGTTGCACATCCACAATTAGGCTCACGATTGTTAGATTAACTCCTCGGCACAAAACGTGCTTCAAAGTATTAGGCACGTCCCTACACACTCTGCTATAACCTCAGGGAGGCGAGCAAGCGAGGACAAGCATTGCTTTGCATACGTTCTCCTGATGAGCAGAGAAACAGTCAAGCGTGCGTTAGACCATTAAATGCAGCTAGCCCTCGTTTTTGTGCGCGGCAAGCCTGCCCGCAGCATTTTGAGGAAAGAGATTTTGCCAGAACGCTGCCTGCTTAGCGAGAGCCGCACGGAGTAAATACAACTGCGCAGGAAGGAAGTTCACTCACTCTTCAACATCTTCACTCCCATCGCCAAATTTTGTAAGGAGCGCCCTAGGTAAAACGTTTATAAAAATAAGAGTTCTGCTCTAAGGTCAACACGTGCAACCAAACCGATCAGTGATGTCATCTGGTTTCATAACGAGCATCTCCCAGCCCTTTTCAAAACACAGTACTTCTCTCTTAGCCACGGTATCAAACTCTCTTTCATTTAGTACAGTCACTCCCCCGGCCCCCAAATAATCATTTGCGCTTTCTTCCACACAAGCGCTGCGGTGCAGATATCATCAGCTAATCTATCATTCTTTCTACCCGGTATTTTTAAATATTGCTGTACATATCATGGGTAGGCATTGCAGTCAAATAAAAAGAAAACAGAGGGAGCTCGTGGAGAAAAGCCTACACAAAGAAAAAGCAGCGGAAAGTTTCCTCCTTTTGGTGTTGCATCCTCAAGTCTCAGATTGTTTCCCATTGCAGTGGGAATTTTTGTTTCAAAGTTACCATGAGGTCAAAAGGAAATTGTCACTAGAGAATCAAAAGGTCACAGAAAATATATCTCTAAGACAACACAGAAAGTGACATAATCCTGGAAAATGGCAATTTCAAGTTGTGTCTTCAAAAAAGAAAGTCTGAACGGCAGATACTTAATCCATTACAAAGCATCCCTTTGCACGTGAGGAGCAAGCCCTCCTCTGGTAGGCTGCTGGGCTACTGGGAAGTCTACGCTTCTGCATTTGGCAGTTGTGAGAAGGAAGAGGCAATTCATAAAGTTGGTGGTCTCTGTTTCCAGTCAGATACAAACTCCTCTGGGGTACAGAAATACGGTGCAATCCACGTGTTTGCAGACAAAGTTTCTGCAGAAAGCGCGGACGCCCCAGTATCCCACCAACAAACGCAACCCACCGCGTTACACAACGTGCGACAGCACCCAGTGAAGGAGGACTGCAGGGATAACTCATAGGAAAACAAAAGCATATTATACAAATACTAATCCAACCACTTTTCGATCACTATATAATTTCCCTGCAAGTTATTCCTTCTGAAAGGAAAGCACTACACAGCGGTCAGCAGTAATTAGTTTAAGAAACGAAGCAAAGCAAAACAAAACACCCAGCAACAAAAAACACTTCCATATTGCAGAAAACGTATATAAAACAGTCATTTAAAATGCTACAGTAACAATGAGAAAAAACCCAGTGAATTAGTTCACTCCTCAGCTACAGTTTCTGGCGTTCCCCTTTCCAGTGGGGTAATTGCTGAGTCAAACACATGAATCAGTAGTAACTCTGATATAAGCCAAAAGACACGAAAAGCAAGCCCTCCCCTCGCTAGCACACATCCTTTCTTTACATCTCTGGCACTGCTCAGGATTCCTGGCGACAGAGGAGCTATGCATTTCCTGTTTATCTTTCTAAAGTGGAAATGATTTCCAAGTAAGCGGCACACAGATTCACCATCCAGAAACTTTATGGCTGTACTCCTTTCAAGGAGAAAAACTGCTTACTAAATCTGCATCTATTTACCAATGTATAGCCCTAGCAACGCTTGCTAAGGCTGCATTCATTCTGCTTTTCATGCAGCCTGGTACAATCTTAATAATGCCACAGACAGAATCAGATTAGTAAGTCACTTTGCAGGGGAGGATACAAAGATGAGAAACCAGAGCTTTCTTCCCTCCCCGCTCTTCAACCCCACAGACTGCGGCCATCTGCAGAGACCTCGGCCCCGACACGAAAGGCTTCAGCCCGTCAGGGTCACACGAGCAAAACAAGCGGAGAGGAAGGAAAGAGTCACTGTCATTACTAGAGAGAGAAAGGCAGGGCCTAGAAAGCCACCCTGAACTTTTGCTACGATGAGAGTGAACAGAACAGAAAAATAGGTTGAACTCGAAAAGATTCAAACGCTAGCAATCTGCGTGACCCAGCCAGCTTTCCAGGGGGCTGTAATGTCAGCTGACAGCTTATGCAAGACTTTATCTGCAAAAAAGCCAAAGAAATTTCATATCTGATACTCAGTTCCAGATAAAGATGGGAAGCAGGCTCTTTTAGCTTAGCAATATTTGTAATTGCACATACCATCTGTCCCTACATACGTGCATCAGTCAGTATTACTAAACCCCCCTACTCTTCACTGCAAATTCAAAGATCGCCTTTTAAAGGCAGAATCCAGTAGTCTGCAGCAAAAGGATGCCACGCGCACATTAAGTTCAGTCCTAGTTTGGAGACAGTTGTACTCCCTTACTTCTGACTCGCTTTTAGCCCAGGGGAAATTAGTTATGGCATTTCTTTTCCTGAAATTTTTCATCCCAAAACACTGGAAAACTGCATTATAGATTGCACTGCTCTGATCACACACCTAGAGCAGCCACAGTCATGTAGTCATACTGAACTCAGTGAAACTAAATCTTCAAAACCGGTTTCTCCTTTACTTACTTGCAAGACCCGACTTCAACGTTGCAACCACACTGGGCCACAGACTGCCGCAGCTACAGCAGCAGTTCAAGGAGAACTGCAAGGGCCAGTGCGGCATCCCCAGCTCGGCCCTTTCAAGGTTACTGCCTTTGCTTCAGAAAATCGACTTTGGCTGTTTTATTTCAGTACGGGGTCCATACATACACACTACTCTTCTCCATCTACAACTGGGGAGCTATGACAGGTTTAAAATAAACTACTGCCTATCATTAAGAGAGATGAACGTGTCTCTCCCCAGACAACGATCCAGCTGCAGAAGGAGGAATGCATAGTGGCCAAAATCTCTTTTAATTTCATGAATATTAAAATGCATCAGGGCTCCTGCTTCGACTTTCCACCATAACTTAAGTTTGCTTTCAGGCTGCATTTTCATATTAAGTCACAGAAATAAAAGATACTTTTAAACTCTATACTTACCTGCTGCTTCCACCGTCAACAAAAGGATTCCAATGTGAAGCGAAGTCAGTGCCGGCTGCTACAACCTGAAGAGGCAGAAATTTTCATTCAAGACTTTTTTTCTAGCAAACTGAAGTAACTAACCCACAGCACTTGAAGAGGCCTGGGAAGTTCCCAAACTCTGCAGAATGACCCATAATCAGTAAAATAAAATTCCAAAGTGAAGCCACGTTGTACAATCTAATTACGAAACAACTATTGAAAAGATATCTTCAACTACTTAGGCTCAAACTTAAAAGCAGCATCTGGAAATGGTATAATGCCAGTGTCAAGTGGCAATAAATTACGTTACTCAGTTTTCACCATCCATTATTGGTTTAAAGATTTTTCTCATCTACCTGGTGAAGGCAGTACTGCTTTGAAAAACAGGGATGGGATTTTTCTGGAGTGCCGAGCACCAATGTATCCAAACTAATTTTAATGGCAGCTGTTGCTATTCACAACACTTATTAATAAATGAAGCCCTTGTGTACACAGGCACATACTAACCCAGAAGACCACTAATTGGCTGATCTGAAGAAAACCGTGGAGAACTGGAACAAACAGCAGCAACTCACAGGGGGGGCAAAAACGTCTGCACGTGAGTTGGCTGTGTTCCAAGCAGCAAGAAGGAAATAAATTCTGCGGATGGGAAGATCAGGGATTCAAATGCAGAACGGCCTCTTCACGTTATCCAATTAATTGGTACATGTCATTTTTTTAAATCTGAGCAAGACTCTGCTCAAAGCACAGAAAGCAATTCATTTTCCTAAAAAAGTGGCAATTGTCTGGGGACCAAGAGGGGTCTTCTCATGACTTTATAGTTCAGATACATACTACTTAGAGCTGAGCCACAAAATAATGAAGACACTACGATTTTAGTAAACCAAGGAGAAAAACCAAACTTGTTCTTACCATTTCATCTCGAGCTTCTGTTTCTTTCCGTAGAGGAGGCTCGAACTGTAGCTTATCAACTACAAAACATTACATTTTCAACTTCACTATACATTACACTAATGCCTTTTTAATGCTTAATGTATCAGTGAAAAGCATGTCGTAACATATCAGACTAGTATATACAGCTTTAATCTGCCTAATAAATATGACTATCACTTGAAATGTCACCATTTTTCATGAAGTCTTAATTGTCTAGATGCTTAAATTAGCAAATGTGAAACCCACAAGAAGGAAATGGAGCGAAAGGAAATACAAAGTCATACAATGAAAGTACAATAAAGTGTAACCATGTAACCACATAAAATGCTATGCTTTTCCTGTGTTTTCTCATCACAGCAAAACAGCCAAGATACTTCTGTGAAAAGATGCCCTCTTAATTATCAACTCACTCTTGCTTTTTGATGTTGGCAGGTATTTAGTATTTTAGTTGTTTTAAGTAGGGCTACATGGTCTGACATAATCACAGTACTGAAAGACTATACTGGTCATACAAGGTTTCCACATAAACATTACTATTCAGCAATGACATGAAATGAAATAGCGGAAAAATATGCAAGTTTTAATTTTGGTTTTGGAAAAATATTATTGAAGATTCATGTTTATGTGTTGTTTTTTCTGGTTTTGTTTCTCAGACGTGCCAACAGCAGAAGAGACTTTCCAGAGCACACAATAAAAGAATAACACCAACATCCTCAATTGGTAAAAGTAAACCAACCCCGCAATATGGGCAAAGCACATTAGGAACTTACAGTTTATCTCTGACGCTGTTCTTTCTGCCCTAACGTTCCTGTTTGTAGAACGAATTGTATGGCGAATAACGGAGTGCGGCTGTAAGAGTCGTAAACAGAAAAACTTAGGAAGGTTATGTGGCTTTCCATTGCATCTCAACCAATAATCCAATTTACAAAGAAAAACAAAGCTGTTGCAGAGTCACAAACTGTTACACACACTGTCCTTGTCCTCACCTAGATCTTGGACTGCCCACACACAGGAACTTTATATGCACTCTACAATAGAAGTGTGACAAGCCCTGTGGAAAGATTTCCTGTTTTCTCCAGCACTGGAACTTCCAGGAGGTCTAAAAATGATGGGCAGTGCCCCTGTCAAGCTGGAATCTTACATGGCGAAAGCAAAGCGAGATATTTAGACAGCAGTTTTACCTAAAATGAAAGATGCTCTCACCTCAAAATCATCATCGTCAGCTTCACTGTAGTGTGCATGGTTGTCAGGATTATTAACTTTGTCCAACAGCTCAACTGCTAAAGATCTCGAAAGACCAGGCTGCCCTACAAAACTATGCTAAAACCACAGAAAAAGAGGACAAGTTATGATAAGCAACTGGTACGTAACTTTCATTAATAAACACTCAATATAAAATGTTTTTGAATTTTGCTTAATGGTTTTCTGGGGGCTTGAGTATTTCTTTAATGACACCTGAACGGCTAGACCAGTACAGGAACGCCACACTTTTGGTCAGTTATAATTGGCAATTAAACTCTGAGTCATACAAACGGTTACACAGTAGCTTAATTTTTTACATGAGTAGTTCATTCAAGTTTAATAAGACAGAATTAGACACGTGAACAACTGCTAAATGGATCAGTTCTCTGTTTGCATGACAGGAAGGGTCAACATCCAATCTGTGCAGCTATTTCTAAGAGGCCGAGACGTTCACTCTTAAAAAAGGACAGGCTGAGGACAGAACATGAGGCAATTTTCAGTAATTTTCAGTAATAAAAACCTCATAAACTCTTGACCCTGACTAAAATCTTGATAATTCCTACAGTAGACCAATGTCTCTCCCATTCAGATTTCACCGCCCACACTGTAAGATCAGAGAAAGAAAATCATTGCAGTTTGGTTCGCTAGTGATCCGTTATTCACTTTGAAGCAGCAGATCATTTACTGGTGTCACACAAAGTTCCAAGTCACTTACAGAAAGGAGTCTTTCTGCTGTTGGTCTCTTCTTCGGATTTTTTGTAAGTGCTATTTTGACAAAATTATGGAATATCGATGACCTTAAAACAGAAAAGTTTGCCAGAAGATATTAAATTCCAACCACCGTGACTAAACAGATTACAAAAGGATGTGCTAAATTAAAACGCTGTCCAAGTACCTCAATGCATCTGAGACCTGAATAATTAGGTTACTGAGTTAGCCAAACAGGAAGAAAAACACTTGATTCATGCAACTTGGATGAAAAAAGTTTTGGTAGGATATAGCAAATAAGCTAAACACACATAGCGCTATTTCAACTTTTTCAAATTTCAGTTGCTACGAACTAAGTATCAGCAATAACAATTGTGAATTAGGTACCCAGCAAACCCTCAAAATCCAGGGAAACCTACACATTTCACTGCTTGTGGTCATAGGCAGGAAAATAAAACAAGAAGTTCAAGATAAGATAAAGACTCAACTTACTCTTTAAAACGCTTTGTTGCTATTTTCAAAACAATTCAGGTGATAGGTCATATGACCTCTCTTAAAATTTGAATTATAATTTGATGCCATGACTGGACCTACAAGCATTGCACAGGACTTTTACAAGTATTTTTCTTGCAATTGCATTTGTGCTAATGCACCATTCTGGGGACAACATTAGCCCACGTCTGCTTGCATTCAAAGTATGTTACAAAGCATATTTCCTCTTCTAGTCTGAACGTGTGAGAACAAGGCACTGGAGAAGTAACGTGTATTGGCTGGGGTTGCACTGAGCTGTTCTGGGTACAGAAGCGTTCTTTCCCTTCCCTTAGCACTTATCTGCCCACCTAAACCCCTCAAGGTAAAAAAGCTACATGGCAGAATTGTGAACAAAAAATTGCGTATACCAGAACTGTTCTGGGTGTCATAATAAAACATTAATAAGTACGGTACAAAATCCTGCAGATGCTGGGAAGGTATCACAAGTTGAAGAAGTTACTGCAGAAAGTATGTTGACAGCGGCACATTCTTCATGAAAGGAATAAAACATTACCTGTCCCAGTCACAGCGACAAAAGCCCTATTATAGAAATTAAGGGGAAAGGATAAAAACAATTTTCCTTCCTAGGATGTACAAAGAGGGTCCGAGAGGGGAGATTTACTTTCCGTCTGGATCAGTGGCAGGGATCGCATCAGGTAGGGCTCTCCTGCCCCACACTGCCTGCTGCTGGACCTCAGGCCTCTCTCATTTGCTTTCAGACTCCTATGACAAACAAGTAGCTGTTTCTCAGCATGCAAAAAAGGGTCTCAATCTGGAAACCTTTCTTTAAGTGAAGTCATCTCTCAGGCTACTGAGTTTAAAACTAGCACATATTATTTTTTACTGGCTTCCTTCTCCAATAATGTACTAGGTTTGTTATTAGAGATTAAGTCGTTCCTTAATCTAATGATTAAGTGAAATCAAATTTTCAGTTGAGCAGACGGTGAAGATATTTTCTAATCATCGTAATGTAAAATTCAGACGTTCCTCTCAAGATCTGCTCAGGAGGGCGTGGGGGTGTCTCCTCAGCAGGCTCACGTTTATTCCATGGCGCTCTCGTAGCGCGGACAGTTTCCGAAGCACAGGTTTCAGGCCTTCCAGAATCAAGGGTTTCATAACGGAAGAAGGTCAGCTTTGTGGCACGGAAATAACCCCGTGTGCGTACAGACTTCTACTGGCTGCAAGCACTTAAAGAATCAAAGCCTTTGCTTATACATTGTTGACATCGGGTTTTTTTGTACTATCTACAAGACATTGAAAAAAAGGGAAGGGTTTAACTTACCATTTTGCTTTTTCCTTTAGCTTTGGTGGTTGAAAATTACTTTTTGACATTAAAAACAATGCCCTAAAGATAATGGAAGAATAACGTAATTATAATTTTAAAAATTAACTTCATTCCAATATCTAAACACATCGAGTTAATACTTCATATTGTAATTCTACTTCAAAGCAAGAATCAAACTGATAACGCTGGATCATAGTCTATACTGCGTTAGAAGACAGACGCAGTAAAGGTGTTCATTTTCTCATCTCTAAATATCTTTTCAATGTCGTGCATCATCTCGTTAAATATAACGCTACAGTTTCTCTACTCATTTTACTGTACTCATTCACATTGCTGCTGACACTACAAAGTTTAAAAAAATACTTCAAGTTTTCAGGTATAATTTTAATTCTAAATTTAAGTCCTGAGCTTCAGTTTGATGTCTTACGAACAGAGGCGGCTCACACAGAAATTAGTCGTTTGATGAAGGAACCCTAGTGTGAGTTTCTAGGTCTGAGCTACGAAGAAGGTTAAACCATATCACGACGGTCCCTTCTGGGACCAAAGAGGAGCCCAAAGATAGGCAAGCTCCCCCGTCAGCAGACCTCATCGGGTGAAGATCAAACATAGGCGGCTGGAGTTCTGCGAGTTCGATCGCTGTGATGCCAACCGCCCAGATATCGCAGAGCTGGTTGTATCCACCGTTCTTTTCCACCGCTGCAACTTCTGGGGCCATCCTGGAAATGCAAAGCCATCGTTCAGGCAGAATACGGCTACTTCTGAATCGCTGCCCGCACGCAAGAGCGACAAAGCACTTCACATAATTCCAGTGCAACCCCCCCCCCCCCCCGAGCGCAAGGCAAAAGCCTGATGTCACCTCCCCTCACCCAGCACTAGAGGAGGAAAAAAACACCCGGGGGTTAAGTGTTTTGCCGAAGGTCGTGAACTCGGCAGCAAAGCTAGGAATAGAACCAGAGCCTCATGATTCCTGGCGAAATGCTTTAATGAGCAGATAATCTGCCTGCCCTTAGTCCTCCTTCTCCAATAGGAAAAAGAGGGCAGCAAACAATTAAAACCATTGTCTGGATTAAGCTGTATGCACATGTTCAGTATATGCTAAGAATATTGCCCTAGAGAAAGGCATCTTAACTGCATCACCAACACACCGACATTCAAAAGCAGTTAAACGTGCATATGTAATCCAGCTCCAGATTTACAATGATATGGTCAGCATATTAAATACTGCCTTGTACAGGAAGAATTAAGGGGTAGAGATGATTCAAAAATAAGTTTTAAATCTGTTTCTCTTCACAATTCTTTCTGCAAAGCAGACCCCCAAAAGATCTCATTCACTAATGTAAGAGCAGAAGAAATCAGTGAGAAACTAAATGATCATTAAGTGTCCAGAAAAAGGGGTGCATGTTCTGTATCAATAAATCTGGGAGAAGCGGCAAGCCCGCTCCAAACAGCAGGTAGCTTTGCTCCCGTAACAGATCAACCACAATCAGCGCTTCCAGCGCTTTTGGGCGTTTTACTTGGAAGAAAAGGGATGTATCCAATTAAGTATATACATTTAAAAACGTGTGCGTGTATACTTACATACTTATATGTACACACACACACACATCAGTGGGTGCGCTTCAGAATTCAGTGGGTGCGTTGGTTTAATTTGCAAACACAGACTTAGCTTTGCAAGTAATCGTAACAACCAAAGCAGCGTATTACCAGTAAGGGGTACCAATAAACGATTTTCTCTTCGCAATGGTGGCTGTTATTTTTGCTGCTACACCAAAGTCCGCTGTAAATGAAATTATCACAACCTTAGAAATCTGATTTTCATTTAACACTCCAATTCCACTCTAGGAGGTTTTGTATTGTGAAAAAAAACACACTTCTAATCCAATTCATTAAGCTTCAGCAGTTAAAGAATAATAATGTGTTCAGTCAATTTCTTCACTGACATGACTTCAAATTAGAAGATTAATTTCTATGTGCAATTCACTGATGATCCCGTTCCCCTCCTAGCTATTGTTCTGTCTCACAATACGGCCACGAAACCACCTCCCAAAATTCAGTGGTATTCAACTTATTATTCTAGAGGAAAAATAGCATCATGCTTTGGAGACAGCACGCTTTCTGGGTTACTTATGGAGGAACTCTGGGGGCCATCTGTTCTTGTTTCCAGAGACTCTGCCTCGGGGACAGCAATCCCTTACTCTGAGAACTGCAGATAATCGGGTTATCTATCTCAGAGAGCCAAAAATCATTTAAGTCCAGTTTTATTCTTATTGCATTTGTAGTATGATAGCTGGAGGATAATTTTAGGCAAAAGCTAAGTGACTTAGGCAAAAAGAAGGTATCAGTGTGTAACCCAAGTTTAATACCATTCATGGAAGCTCCAATGAGTTTCAAGGTTTTAGCTTTTTTTTTCCCCCCTCCTTAAAAAGTCGTACTTTTTTAGCACAGCACTCCTATGCCACTCCAGGAGAACAAGCACGTTGAACCACACAGCTACTCTGAAGGCAGCTAAACTGCAACCACCCTGACTACAACACCGGACATACTAAGTTGGTGAAGAGATTCCTGCTGACGGGGAGTCTGTTTCTGACCTCCTGAAGAGCCCTATCTACAGCTAGAATCCCTGAGGAGAGGCAGCAGACAGTCAGATGGGGGATTTGAAGGCAGCGCACCCAGGTGACAAGAGATTCGGCCCATTTGTGCCCCTGCAAATGCAAAGCGTCACTGGAGGAAGCCGGTAATACAGACCTCTTCCAAGCTTTCATCTGCAGACCTCAAAGCGCTTGCAAAGGAGGAAAGTTTCCTCATCTCCACCTTCCTGGGAACACCCATGGTCGCACACTGGGCTAGAGGCAAGGCCGGGGCAGAACCCACATTTCCACGGGCTGCCAGGCGTGGGAGGAGCTATCTCACATGCTTAGGGCATCCCTGAGGGCTCCAAGGGAGAGCCACCATCCTGGCTAGGAGCAGCCAAGCCTAAGTAACCCCCCACCTGGCCAATTTCAGAGAAATCAAGGAGGTTTCCAGGCCTGTTGGTTGGCTCAGTGACTGCTCCAAAAGAGGAAGAACTGAAGAAGGTGGTTGGTTACCTATAGCCTCTGGACAGGAAGGGACATTTCTCATCTCGCACATACACAAGCGCCCACAGACAGACACTTTCTATTGTCAACTATTGCTCTAAACGGCATGACTAAGAACATCCCGCAGTGCAGCATCAGAAAGTTAGTGCCACAGAGAACAGTGTCGAATAGAATTGAGTGCACCAATACAGGGGATCTGCTGCACTGTGCTCTAGCTTTAGCAGGCTCCATCTTTGCTCTACAGGTGCTACTCAACACAAAACAAAGCCCTACAAAAGCAGAGTATTTTGTATCAGGAGGCAGGCTCTCTGCAGACCGGCTATTTTTGTGCGTTTCTGCATTAGCGGCGTGACAAAAGTAAAAGACAACAACTTGCTAAACCAAAGTATCCTAGCTGGTACTATTAACTTTTAATTGGTTAAATTAAAATAATCACTTGAGTTCTGTCTTACTATTAATTCAGGCAACTTACCTAATTTGACATCTCCATGGTCTGTTAGTAGAATATTTGCACCCTAAGGCATAATACATAGAAAGTTAAAATGCTGTATCAGGAATATATTTCTGCTACAAGAAAGTTTAAGATAAGCTCCCCACAGTTCCAAGTTACCTTTATATCTCTGTGCATTTTGCCCTTCATATGCAAATAAGCAAGACCCTGGGGGGGAAAAAAACAACATTTCAGTTTTACCATTTGTTAACCTACTACAAAGCCAGTCATATTTAATACATTTAAATTACTCAATGTATTTTGTTTGAAAGTTGAGAAATTTGAGATTTGCAGATAAGAAATACACTGGCTTCTGTTCCTGATCTCTCCCAGAGCCAACAAATGCACGTGAAGACTCGTTTCAACGAGTCACGGTGTAACGTTTTACATAGATACACGTGTTATTTTCGAAACAAACCTCAAGATACAGCACCTTTACCCTTTAATAAAGTTAATTATACTTGTGAAGTCCTGAAGGTTCCTTCCAGCAACACAGGCACCAAGAGATCAGGAACAGAACTGCTGAGCAGATTAGTTCACGGTCTGTGGCCCTGTCTCCGGCAGTGACCAGGTCACCCACTGCTTTAGGGGAAGGTGGCTATCTTCATGATTCTCTTACAGAGTTACTCATGGATACAAAGAGTAGGGAAGGAAAAGTTCCTTTAAGAAACAAGCTGTCTGTATCATCTTATCTTGTATTTCTACAGTTATTAACAATCACAGAACGAAACAGAATTTTAGTCATCTGGTCATAACGTTTTTCCTCTACAAATCATTGGAATTTACGGCCACAGATCAAGCAGGCAGTTTAAAATCTGTGGGGTTTTTATTGCTCAGCTACTTACCCTTGCTTACTAGGTATTAGCTGTTCTCTGCAACGAGATTCAGAAATTTGTCCTAAGCAACCGCTGCACTGAACCCCTGTGCTAGAACAACGCACGCAAATAGCCGAGACACCACTGGGGTCACAACCCGCAAAGACCTACGTCTTCCATAGGTTCACTGAAACCAACTGGATCACTGGAGAAACAGGAAGAGGACTGAGTTTTAGGATTCTGCTTCTGCAACGGGGTCCTCAGAGACTACTTCTCTTATGCAAATTCCCTTGCAAATTACAGCACGAGGAGCGTGCAAAAGTTGCTCTGACAGTGATTTCAGCAAGTATTCGCACCACATTACTGTAGTTTGCTGCTAATTTTTATTTAAACAATATGGAAACTAACAGATTAACCCTAGCTGACTGGTCTCACCGGATCCTCAGTGCTTACAAATACAAGTGGCGGTACAGCATCGCTGTCTGAACTGGCTCATCTGCCGGATCTACCTCCTGTACACAGACCAAAGGCTTCATGAGATACCTGCAGAAGTACAGTACCTGTAGAGTTTCTCTGCATACATAAGCAATTTGTAACTCTGACAGAGGTCCTGTTACTGCAAACAAAGATGAAAGAGTCTGTGAGTTTACAGCGTACACTGTATAAACACTACTGTGAAGCAGCCAAATGATATCTACGTGCAAAAGTTAAACAACATTTTTTACACAAACTGTTTTTTAAATTGATCTGAATTTTTTTTTAAACAGAAAGACTTTCTGTGTTTTTTTCTTTTTTCTCTTCCAATAACAGAAGACAATACCCATAGCAAGAAGAAAATCTGTTTCGACAGAAATCTAATCATCATTTTACAAGTGACTTGGTAATAGTACAGTATCTTATATTTTGTGAGAGGTAAAAAGCGACAAAACTGAGTTCTGCTAATCTCTTACTACTAGAAACGCAGATGTTCTATATTAGGGGGCTATGGGACTCAGAACTGTCTTAAAACTATTTTTCAGTCATTTAGTATAAATAAAGTAGAAAGAGCTTTGGGATTCAAAAACGTCATGCTATCAGCTAGAGGCAGAGGAAGTTCCCAGACTGCTTTTCCAGCAACTCCAATAAATCCTTCTACAGAATCAACAACTCTAGATGACATCTCAGAGGTAAAAATAGGAACAAAAGAGTGCCATGCTATTGTACAGGAGCAGGAACAACAAGGCATTTTTATCCTTTAAACATCACATTTAGAGAGTTCCCAGTAAAATCAGCTTCCTCACACTGCGCACACTTTCTGGCTGTGGGACTAACACACGCACCATACATCTGCAACAGCTTTGACTTCTGCGTTCAGCAACGTATGGTTTTAACAAATAGTTTTATTCTAGCAATAGTACAGCCTTCATCTCTAACTAGCATGATTTCTGTTGTGAGCTTCTGGGGGGCTTCTTCCCCCTTCAGAAAAGCAGTTGAACTGTCTTTGCCTCTGACACGCACGGGCACGCGGTTGACACCAGCTAACTGAAGCTGCCGCCCAGCCCACCGCTGATGGCCACCGTAGTTACTCCACTGGAATAAATCAAACTCTTTGGGTCAGTTATCTAAGTACCATGGGGAAAAATAAGCAGTATGATGATTAAGAAATTATCGCCTAGAATGGCAGGCTGTTAGCACAAAATGATTGTCACCACAAATGTCACCATGACTATCTGAGAAGTGCTCTCAACAAAATCTGTTCCTTGTCGCTGAAATCACTTTTCATTTCACAAGAAACGACGCATGCGATGCCCGCTGCTACCAACAATTCCCCTTCCGTTTGCTTTTCAAGTTTTTTTGTTTTTTTTTTGCCAAAGCTTCCAGAAGGTAGAAACATTGAAATAAGTTTCAAAATACCATGGTAAATATCTTGAAGGGATCCTCCACCGCAGTACTCCATACATATCCACAGCTTTTCACGGCTATCAGGAGAGAGTTAAAACACATGCATCAGCAGTTGATTGATCTATATACAGAACAGAGTTAATAATGGTCATTGAAATTATTTTCTACTTGTCTTGATGGTTCTTTAACATTCTTCAGTTTGTCAAAAACAAATATTTCAAGGCATCACAAGCAGTTACACATTTGATGTTATTAAGAATCTCACTGTAAAATTTTCACTCTGATAGGTGAATTTATATCAGTCACTGACAAGTCTCTGACTGTTGATCAGACCTAAAGGGCGTTGCTTTAACCCTGACCTTCTAACTTCAATAAAGAACAAGAAGAAACACCTGAGGTTTACATTCTGTCAGCAAGATAAAAGGGTTTAAACATAGCAACTCAGAGTTTCAACCTTAAATTGAAATTATCTAAATTGTCTTTAAAAAAAGTCTTCGTGGCTTTTAAAAGTGGGGCTGGGGCTTCAGAAATTTAGCTGTTTTGTTGCAGTTGAAGTCCATTTGGTTTGTTCAGCTTACTTTAAATACGCAATCCTCCACGAAATCTGAAGATTAAGCCTCAGAGAAAGAGACCAAGTAAGAGAAGTGGTGATATATGTTCCCAAAGAGCCTATTGATAAATGGCACAGTTCCACAGATATGGAAAATATTCCCCAACTTTCTGTATAACTTTTAACGTGTGTCCTTGAGGAGGTAGCCAGCTGGCATCGCTTTGCTTCTGCCTTTCAGGACTTTGCATCTGTTGCACCAGAACTATGGAAAAGGTCTATTACCAGCAGCTCGGACTCAGAGATTTTTGCTCTTACAACTTGCTTGCTATGCTTTCATAACACACAGTACTGCTTTTAAATCAAATCCCTAAAAGCATTTCTGCTGTAGATAAATAATGAGCTTATTTTATATAGGAGTCATAAATGTTTAAAATCTGCCCAGGAAGTGAGTTGGATTGGGTATGTTGCAAGAGCCTCTAGGGGAAAAGTTTCTTTCTGCTCCTACTGATAAAAGTATTCCAGCCTTTTGGCCAGCGGAGAAAGCACAGTATTAGTCACTTTATTTTTAGACTCAGCTGGAAACTGAAGGGAATTCAACCTAAAGAAGAACAGTGAGAGAGGATATAAATAATAAACCAGACACAGCATTGTCTTAGGAATGAATCAACAGAGATGCAGGTAATGAAGCGGGCTTTACCTGAGGTAGCTCCCAAAATAGGCTACAATGTTGCAGTGCTTGCACTCTTTAACCATATATATTTCTTGCTGTATCAAGGAAAAGTCATCTCCTGAAAAAACAGAAAGCAGTCACAGTAGCATCATACAAAATTTGAAGGTCGGGGAGATCTGGAAGTACATGTATGATTCATGAAAACGAGCTACGGGCTTGGACAACTGCTAACCCCTTCACGAGGGTTTTCCAGCACGCCGGCTTGCTCAGGAACCGCTATCCACACGCCTCCTTCTTTCATTTTCCCTTCTGCACTACGTTCTTCGCACGAGGCAAAAACGTTTCCTGAAGACCAACGGAGAAGGGCTGGCCCGGCAGCCTGGACACCATCGACCAGCGAAGGCAGCTCAGCAAGCACGAGGAGCCCTTCGGAGAGCGGCCAAGGGGCACCGTCCCCGCAGGGACGGGAGCACGTCGGAAAACTCGGCAGCAGCCCCGTAGAGCCATCGGGCCCAGCTGGAGCCCAGCCGGCTTTACCGGGGGGGCCGGGGGCACAGCGCAGGGGTCCCGCGGGCAGCTTGCAGAAACCTCCGCTCCTGAGTTCAGAGTCCCCTGCCTGCAACCCAAGGGACCGCATACCACAGACTCTCTAATAAAATATTTCAGTTTTAAAATGCCTCCGAGAGAGCACGCGGTCTGCACAGACTCACCCCGGCTGACTCAGAAGAGGAGCAGAGACCCAAACACAGATGGCCTCACGAGCACAGTTTTAGGTTCGAACAGCTACACAGGCACATTTACACACCCTAAATATCCGCCGTAAAAAAAAACCCATATATATATTTTTCAACAGATTACAGACAGAGCAATAGCCTAGTGTGTTTGCACCAGTATGGTTTTGATAGGGTAAAGCTTAAACACTGTTGTAAATGCCAACAAAATTCCATTTTCCAGAGGAAAGGCGCGTATCTGCTGCCCCAACCACCGCCGTGCCGCCGGCGACCTGAACGAGGACAGGGGGGGGACCTCAGTTCACAGCATCGAGCTTTGCACCTTTCTGAGCTTAATTATAGGCTCTGTTCAACACGGGAGAAAGACTGCCGTACCCGTATCTGCCCTAGTGGAGAGCTAAAGCTAAGTTATGGAAAGGATAAGGGCAGGGTAGATCTCCGAGGGGCTTCTCTAGCAGTCATCTTCACGAAGGAGCAACCCGCAGCTAAGAACTCTGTGGGAGACACCAAATTAGCGCTGGATGGGAAAGAGGAATTAGCTACCTCCAAAAATTATCTGGGGACATCAAATAGAGACATCCTTCCTAATTTCATTAGGAATTTCTGGCTTATATTTCTCCAACTTTGTTCCACTGTTGCAAAATCTCATGCTTCGTGCAGACATGATTTTATCCTTACTTCCCACCTGAAGATATGCCTTGGACAAAACATTTCTTCGGACACTTCAAGCGACCCAAAACCCCGGTCACTGACCAGCCTCCCTCTAAAGAACAATATAGTAGAAATCAGCCTATTAGGCCATTCTAGATATGCACTTTCCTTGCAATGCTTATATATATAATCAACTCGATTCTTCCTCTGGTATGAACAAAATTTCTGCAACAACTTGCAAGACGTGAAAGGCTAGAATTTGGTTTTTAGCTAAAACGCCGCTTTGGACAACATGGTAGCTACCACGTTCTCTCAAAGAAAAAAAATGCTTAGTATGTTTATTTTTGCTTTATGCTTCACCCATTGAAAGTTATCTCCTAACATCAACACAAAGTCGGAGATGTGGAAGCCAGCAAACACATGCTGCCTTTTAACCACTGCTCCCCTTAATTTATACTATTTTGATAACCGCAAGAGGTTTCAAGCACGAGCATAAACTCCGTTGGGATTTTAAAAAGTGTTTATTTAAAAAGTAACAGTGTATCTAATATTTCTAATAAGCTCTTTAGAAACATACCTTTTATTTACTGTGCTTTGACGCAACTTCATTGAGCAACGCTGTTGCCACGGAGCTCATACCTGGACAGCCATCTGCCTGGCTGCCACCCCAGCTCTCGCGGAGCCCGGAGCTGGCCAGCACTGACGTGCCGCCCTTTGGCATTTATCATCGCTTTACAATCTTCATAAACATATTAATAAACGTTCAGCTGGTATGTAGCTGTTTACAGACACGGTGGAAGAAGTGCCAGCTTGGTACAGTGATTTTCAAATGATCACGGCCTTTATGTCTTAATGATTGCCAGGCTTTTACTTAAGGAAATAACTACAAAATACAAATGCACAGTGGAATCCACTCACGTGAACACATCCCTGGCTCACTTTAGTAAAACCTCAAGGGCTTCTTAAGTTGAATAGTATAGAGCAAGGCTTCACTGGGGCAGGAAACATTAGCACAAGAGGAGTCAGACACCAGGAGTCTTTTTCTTTTAAGCACAAGTAGTATTAAAAAAAAAAGTAAAAAAAAAATTATTGAAAAGAGGCAACACAATTTCCATGTCTGAATCGATCAGATTTAGCAGAGATCTCACACTTTGCTCGCTTTCCGGGTTACCTTTGAACTACAACGAATTTTTGCTTGAATTCATGCACCCTGCCTACAAACAACTACTACGAACAAAGGAATTTTGGGTTTGAGTCAGGTGGATTAAGCCTTCCTACTTCTGTGACAAACTTTCTAAGGGAAACTGTTGAACTTTCACAAATCACTCCCTGGAGCATTCTAAAGCTCAAGTTTTTCAAGGAAGTCAAATCTAAATAAGTTTGAAGGAAAAAGCTACCCACGCACGCACCCCCAAAACCAAAGACGGTATCGCCGTTCTCTGACCGTACCAGCTGCCCAGCAGTCCCTGGAGTATCTAATGCCAAATATCAATGATCTCTCCTCATACTGCAATCTTCAAATCAAAGATTCCTTGTTATATAAGAAAGTGTTTCAGGAACAGCTGAATACATATATGTGACAACCACGATGAGGAAGCATTCGCATAACAGTAAAACGTTGTACGTAGCAGCCTGACTTGCTGTCCAATATCCTACCAGTCGGAGTGCATAGTACGGTGCGACAAGAGTGTCAGAGGTCTAGAAAACACGGCTAATGGGGGGAAACTGAAGGAAATACGGTTATTTGGACTAAAAAAAGACCAATAGGAGAAATAATCCTCAGAGATGCATGAGATATCAGGGAAGGGGGGAAGGAATAATCCATTCTCCATGTCTACGACAGGACAATTAGAAAGGTGCTTAAACTGCCTGAACCTACGCTCCCCATACTCTGTTAGGAAAAACTTTGCATCTGCGACAACAACGGGGCCCTGAACTCAAACGCACAGAAAGCTCGGAAATCTCTCACAGATGGAAAATTTGAAGGAAACGCTGAACAAGTACCCGTCAGAAAGTGACTTAGGGTAGCCGATCCTGCCTTGTAATAGGGGAAGACAGAAAAGGCGACCTCTTGATTTGCAATTAATAAACTAGGAACCTACCCAAGAAATGGCGTTGCCTACCAAAAATGAGAGATTTGGAAGAGGAAAGGGCTGAACACAGACAGGGAGCGTTACACAGAAGTAACAAACAGATGGAAAAAAGAAGCAGAGAGCAGAAGTATCCGAGAGAAAAGCTTGGCTAAACTACATCGAAGAAGTTTCTGAAAGATCAGACCCAGCGATAGGGGAGAAGATGTATAATGCTTCAAAGGCAAGAATGAATTCAAAACAACGGAATTCAGAGTTTCCAGGCAGCTGGAATATTACTCCTGGCAAGAAGAGCTGGAATAGGGCAAAAATTAAATAACCTTGGATAGCGTTACCCCCCCCCCCAAAAAAAAAAAAAGACAATAAGACAAAGAATTTGTAAAAAAATACTTCATCAAGAGGGCACAGCAAGAGAAAAAGTTCGCTCAAAGGTGACAATAAACCCATACAAAAAGCTTTTCTTCTGCTTTAGTCATTAGAGATCGCTGGATTCTAAATAACAGGGAATTGGAAAAATGTACTTTTTGTCTACTCACATGTTTGCAATTATGGGTTATGTGGCATGCTGAGCAAAAACGTAGTTTAGGGAGCTGCCGTAAATCACACAAGCAGTATGGTGAGTCACTGCAGCTTGCTACTATTATGTAATTTTACCTCTCCATCTAGACATACAGTACACAGAGAGGCGAGCTACAATAGAATATTCTCCCCGAGAAGAGCTCGTGGCGGAGCCTGCTCCGCTTGGCACAACGAGCTGCTTGTTCCCCAGCACAGCTGGCAGCAAGGAAGACTATCGAAACATGCAGCCACACCATCTTGTGCTGGGATCGGATCAGATTTCAGAAGCTAAGCGAGGTAAGGCCTGGTAAATTCCTGCTAAATCCAAGCTTAAGTAGGTTCTAGTTCCGACCTACATGGAACTGGTACGGTATAGACGTCCCGCCATGTGATCCTAGCTGGAGAGCATGTGAATCCTGGATCCACATCCCCCAAACTACAGCTAGGGAAGGACCTGATGGCTGTTGCACCTATCGCATTGTATCAGCAAGTCTTCTGAGCATGCATGGCACTGATGGTTTATACACATCTTTACTCCTGGTCGTGTTTCTGGTGCTCCACTGACCGCTTTGAATGGTCCCACCCTGCAAAAAAGACCCTGGGTCACTCTCAAAGCCCCTACTGGGTTGACCACGAGTCACTTCATGGTGCAGAAGGCTCCTGGGGGAGAAATTCAGTTATTGTTTTAAATCGGTTTATTTGGCATTATTTCAGCACTGCATCACAGAGCTGACGCTGTGTGGGAACACAGGGCGGGAGAAGCAGGCAGAGCCCAGGGCCCGCACGCAACCGGGAGGAGAGGCCTGACGGCACTGGGAGGCATCAACTGTGTCACCAAAGGGTGGGACAGGAGCACGCAGTAAGAGGCCAAATATCTTCGGGGTGCCAGCCTGCCAGCACTCCTGCCCAAGCTAGCGTTAGCAACGCGCAGTCCTCACGGGCCACAACGCGTTGGATGGACACGTCCGACTGCCGGGCAGCAGATGTGACGTCCAGCCAAAAACGTACCCTCTGAGCCGACCTAGAAAGCTCGCTTCATAGATACTTCAAACACATGGGATTTGTAATGCTAATTTTTTTTTTTTTTT